GTCATCGATGGGATAGTCACAGACATACCTTGCTCCTCACTACCCTACCATAGGCCAAGGGAACCAGTATCAGTTTCAGGGTGCTACTCAGGCCCCTACTACTTCATGTGCAGGAACTCCGCAAGCAGGGCAAATGAGCCAGGGCATGGGTCTAGGCCGAGGACTGGGCTTACAAGTCGGTACTTCAGGGACCTAGTGGCGTTTCTATGCCATGATGCCACAAACTAAGTCGATAGATCACTCGGTGATACAGGGTACATTTCTATTCTCTTGCTTATGGACTAGAGTATTATTTGATTCTGGTGTATCACATTCTTTTATTATTGCATCTTGTGTGAAAGGCTTGGGCTTAGAGGTTGAGACCTTAGAAGAGCCATTGCACATAAGTTCTCCCCTAGGAGTTAGGGTGAGAGTTGATCATATATGTCAGGACTGTGAGTTAGAGATCTCAGGGATTTTACTCACCATGGACCTTAGGGTCATGGACATGTCGGAGTTTGATGTGATTCTTGGCATGGATTGGTTGGCGGCACATCGGGTTGTCATTGATTGTGATCGTAAGAGAGTCACAGCCTACACCCCGGAGGGAATTTGTTTCAAGTTTCAAGGGAAAAAGCATGACATATGTGGTTGAATTGCTCATTGGCATCATTATATTTTTGGGTATGAGGTTAGCATCAAATTCGTGGGCTTTAGGCATGAGTGTGGGTGTGTATGTATGATTAATCAAACACCACTCATGGTGATATGAGGACTCGGAGATATTGGATCTAAGATCCCATGGAGTCGCATGTTGCATGAGAAAAACTTGTGTCAAGTATAGCAAGAAGGGCTAAACACTCCCTCGGGTGAAAACCCCGACTACTTGGTTCATATACTTCCCTGTGATAAAATTTCAAAAAAGTGTAATGGCGTATGAAGCCAGTCGGTGTGATTCCGGAATCCGATACCTAACAAAGATACATGATTTTGTAATACAAAGTTTTCATTTGATAGGAAACATTCATGAATGAAATGGTTTTATAAACACATATTTGGTATTTCAAACATGATCATTGGATGTATTTCATCAATGATAAGGGTTTTACACTTGCATTGCATAGTGTGGTGAGAGCCGGTGAGGGCTCGGGTTGATGTGTGTGAGTGAATCTCATTTCATTCATGACATGACATAGCAGATTCCAACATGAAATATATACATTCTTGCTTGGAATGATTACATGAGTTTGAATGTTGTTTATGAAGATTGTNCTAGTTTGTTTAGCACCATTCGGATGGTGGTGATTGGCATCTAGACGATAGTGATCCACTGGAAATCCTCCTTTTTGACTGTTAACCTTGGAACTTGAGCCTGCTAGTGCAACCGAATGGTGGAGGTCCTTGAAATTATTCACTTTTTGCTCCTTGGTCCTTAAACTTCTCNTTTAGTCCCTACCATGGGATACTAAATGAATGCTCTATTGCTATCTGGCATGTGTGTAGATGGCAACTAGAGGAAGGGGACGTCGGGGTGGACAGAACAACCAACCACCACCGACCTTGGACCAACAAGCTGTTATAAAGACTATTGGTACAGCGACTACTGCCATAGCACAAGCTAGTACTACGACTGTCACTATTGCACAGAATGGTGCAAATAGGGGTCAAGGAGGCTCAAGTAACCTCCAGAAGTTCAAGGCACATCAGCCTCCGATCTTCATGGGAGAGGCGGATCCTATGGTGGATTACCATTGGTCCCAGCAAGTGGATAAGATTTTGCGGGCAATGGAGATCACTTTCGATGCCACAAAGATAACCCTAGCTACCTTTCAGCTAGAGGGAGAATCCCAAGTGTGGTGGGATTGGGTCAAGACCTCGAAGAACTTAGAGGTAATGACATGGGTGGAGTTCAAGGAGCACTCCATGGGCAAGTATTTCTCAGGGGCGCACGACATGCAAAGGCCCGGGAGTTNTGAGGATAGATACCCTTCAACTTGGAAGGATGATGTATTCAATCAATTGTAGAGGTTAGACTATATTTTAAAATAGAATTTGGAAATTGGGGTGGCATTAGTTAAGGGTGGAGTGAATGATGTGTTAAAATTAGCTTTCTGCATAGGGTTTGAGCACCATAGTGATCATGCTTTTAGGGTTGACAAACGCTCTAGGAGCTTTTGTGGATTTAATGAATAAGGTAACTCAAACTTACTTAGACTTTTTATGATTATAGTTAATTGATGATATTTTTAGTGTATTCTCTTAGCAAAAAGGAAAATTAGTAGTATTTATGGATGGAGTTGCAAACATTATGGGAAGAAGGAAGATGGAGGGAGATGTCGAAAACCAAGTGTTGTAGTCTCAATAGGAAAGTAAACTACTTTGTGTTCTACTAGTAGGAACCTTAGTTGTACCAGTAGGAAGATGTTTTGTTGTGTTCTACCAGTAGGAACCATAGTTATACCAATAGGAAGATGTGCTATTTTAGTTCTACCAGTAGGAACTATAGTTATATCGATAGGAAAGTATTATGTTTTGTGGTGTACCTGTAGGACTTGTACCGATACCATAAGGCTAACTCACTATCTTGTCGCATAAATCCCTAATCTTCTACCCGTTAATTCTTTGGGCTTCCCAAAGACATTCTATGAGGCTAAAACTAATCCTATAAAGGTCAGATTGACCTTAACTATTCAATTAATACTTAAATAAGAATATGGCATTANGTTATCATTGTCACCAGCCCGAACATATGAGGTGGGATTGTCCTCAGAGACAGGGATCCCAGAGTTATGGGACGTCTTAGTCTCAGTCATCGATGGGATAGTCACAGACATACCTTGCTCCTCACTACCCTACCATAGGCCAAGGGAACCAGTATCAGTTTCAGGGTGCTACTCAGGCCCCTACTACTTCATGTGCAGGAACTCCGCAAGCAGGGCAAATGAGCCAGGGCATGGGTCTAGGCCGAGGACTGGGCTTACAAGTCGGTACTTCAGGGACCTAGTGGCGTTTCTATGCCATGATGCCACAAACTAAGTCGATAGATCACTCGGTGATACAGGGTACATTTCTATTCTCTTGCTTATGGACTAGAGTATTATTTGATTCTGGTGTATCACATTCTTTTATTATTGCATCTTGTGTGAAAGGCTTGGGCTTAGAGGTTGAGACCTTAGAAGAGCCATTGCACATAAGTTCTCCCCTAGGAGTTAGGGTGAGAGTTGATCATATATGTCAGGACTGTGAGTTAGAGATCTCAGGGATTTTACTCACCATGGACCTTAGGGTCATGGACATGTCGGAGTTTGATGTGATTCTTGGCATGGATTGGTTGGCGGCACATCGGGTTGTCATTGATTGTGATCGTAAGAGAGTCACAGCCTACACCCCGGAGGGAATTTGTTTCAAGTTTCAAGGGAAAAAGCATGACATATGTGGTTGAATTGCTCATTGGCATCATTATATTTTTGGGTATGAGGTTAGCATCAAATTCGTGGGCTTTAGGCATGAGTGTGGGTGTGTATGTATGATTAATCAAACACCACTCATGGTGATATGAGGACTCGGAGATATTGGATCTAAGATCCCATGGAGTCGCATGTTGCATGAGAAAAACTTGTGTCAAGTATAGCAAGAAGGGCTAAACACTCCCTCGGGTGAAAACCCCGACTACTTGGTTCATATACTTCCCTGTGATAAAATTTCAAAAAAGTGTAATGGCGTATGAAGCCAGTCGGTGTGATTCCGGAATCCGATACCTAACAAAGATACATGATTTTGTAATACAAAGTTTTCATTTGATAGGAAACATTCATGAATGAAATGGTTTTATAAACACATATTTGGTATTTCAAACATGATCATTGGATGTATTTCATCAATGATAAGGGTTTTACACTTGCATTGCATAGTGTGGTGAGAGCCGGTGAGGGCTCGGGTTGATGTGTGTGAGTGAATCTCATTTCATTCATGACATGACATAGCAGATTCCAACATGAAATATATACATTCTTGCTTGGAATGATTACATGAGTTTGAATGTTGTTTATGAAGATTGTATATGCACTTAGGTTGGGGAGTAGCCTCTATAGGAAACATTATACTGAGCGTTGGCTCACCTTATACGGGAAACATTTCAAGTGCGGGGCATATTCCGGCGGATGATACTCATTCGGGGCCTCGAGGGTGAAGAAAAGCCAGTTTGTGGCTTCTGAAAACAAGTTTTGTATAAAAGTTTAGTTTATATTCCATTTTGATATGTACTCATGTAAATGGTTTGTATTACAACTTGTAGATATCAAGTTTTATGCGATAAACATCATTATATATGTTTGAAATGATGTTGGGTTGGTTTGGAATGGATTGGACATGAAAAATAGGTAAAACGGACAAAACTGGGCAGAGTGTACCAGTACCGTATAGTTCAGAAGACAGAGCGTACCAGTACTGTCTGTCCAAAGGGAAAACTGTACCGATACGCAGTACCGGTACGCTTTTCCAAATTTTCTAAATTTTAAAACTAAAGTGCTATGCCTTTGCACTTTGGTTCCTTGGTTCCAAAGATACAAATGGACATTAAATGAGATGTATTGGGGTATATTGAACTTTGGTTGAATTAAATAATTGAAAGAACACGAGTTACACGTGTGAGTTAAAATCTCAAATAAAGGGATACTATTACGTGATGTCGGATTATGCGGCACTCACGGATATTTCTGCAGGTTGACGGTGGTCAACGAGACTCCCGGATTTAGGGGCGTCACATAAAACAAACTCTTCCCTAAGGCATAGTTGAAACACTGCCACTCTTCTTAACCAAAGCAAGGCTATGAAAAGTGAGAGAGAATCAACCTTCTAAGTAGAAAGAGTATTAAATAAATGTAAAAGAAAAGAGTTTTGGCTGGGAAGAAAATTTCTTCAAGTTTCAAACTTAAGAATGAATGAATAATACTAGGAATGGGGGGTATTTATAGAGCTTCATGGGCAGCTACTGGTGGCAGAAAAAGCCAATAGAAAACAACCTTGGTGGAGAAGCAAAATCTAGTTTGTTTAGCACCATTCGGATGGTGGTGATTGGCATCTAGACGATAGTGATCCACTGGAAATCCTCCTTTTTGACTGTTAACCTTGGAACTTGAGCCTGCTAGTGCAACCGAATGGTGGAGGTCCTTGAAATTATTCACTTTTTGCTCCTTGGTCCTTAAACTTCTCGATTTCACTCCCTTGACCCTATTATTTTAATATACCAAATTTCACCCATTAATAATATCACAATCTAACTTCCAGCCTATTTAATTATTTAATTAATGTAATTAACCCTTAAGTATACTATAAAAAAGGTAACTTTTAAAGTTAATCAGTTGTCAGGATTATCTGGTGTATGCGAAAGACACCAATGAGGAATAGAAAAATTTATGTGGGTTGCTATTAGACAAGGGAGTTGAGTGGCTATTAAGTATAAAATAGAGATTGCATCTATCTCCATTGATTTATATTATGAGTCATTTGTTGAATTAAAATAGGTGGAAGCACAATTGCAGGATTTAGATAATCAGGATTTTAATCAAGTCTAGAGTATCCCTACAGGAAAACTTCAGTTTAGTTTGTGGGTGGAGGATGAAACCACATGTTTATACACTAACTATTGGCAATATAATAAGGTAATTATTGAGGATAGATACCCTTCAACTTGGAAGGATGATGTATTCAATCAATTGTAGAGGTTAGACTATATTTTAAAATAGAATTTGGAAATTGGGGTGGCATTAGTTAAGGGTGGAGTGAATGATGTGTTAAAATTAGCTTTCTGCATAGGGTTTGAGCACCATAGTGATCATGCTTTTAGGGTTGACAAACGCTCTAGGAGCTTTTGTGGATTTAATGAATAAGGTAACTCAAACTTACTTAGACTTTTTATGATTATAGTTAATTGATGATATTTTTAGTGTATTCTCTTAGCAAAAAGGAAAATTAGTAGTATTTATGGATGGAGTTGCAAACATTATGGGAAGAAGGAAGATGGAGGGAGATGTCGAAAACCAAGTGTTGTAGTCTCAATAGGAAAGTAAACTACTTTGTGTTCTACTAGTAGGAACCTTAGTTGTACCAGTAGGAAGATGTTTTGTTGTGTTCTACCAGTAGGAACCATAGTTATACCAATAGGAAGATGTGCTATTTTAGTTCTACCAGTAGGAACTATAGTTATATCGATAGGAAAGTATTATGTTTTGTGGTGTACCTGTAGGACTTGTACCGATACCATAAGGCTAACTCACTATCTTGTCGCATAAATCCCTAATCTTCTACCCGTTAATTCTTTGGGCTTCCCAAAGACATTCTATGAGGCTAAAACTAATCCTATAAAGGTCAGATTGACCTTAACTATTCAATTAATACTTAAATAAGAATATGGCATTAGAGGATAAAGATTAGCAAGGAAGAACCTAAACGATGACACAATTGCGATAGCATGTGTGTTAGGTATGGAGGCATCTATGTCATCGATCATCCTACCTAAAGCACCAACAAAGGATCGAACTTGAGGTAGATACCAACTCAAGGTGAGTGTACTAACTCACACATTTTACATTGACTTATTAATGTTATTTACTATCAAATTATGAGCATGGATATATGAAATGACTTACGATGGTATGGTGGTTATGTCTATAGCCTTGAAGGCAAATATAGCCTTAGTGGCGAACTCAATATAGCCTCAATGGCAAATGTAAGATTGCCTTAGTGGCAAACTCGATATAACCTTTAGTGGCAAATGAGATTGTCTTAATGACAGATATGATATAGCCTGAGTGACGTATGAGATTGCCTTAGTGGCATATGTGATATGGCCTTACTGGCAGACACAATATAGCCATAGTGGCAGTTAAGGTATAGCCTTAGTGGCAAGTATAGCCTTAACGGTAAGTTACTATATCTCTATATGGTGAACAAGCAAGGGTGAAGATTGTTCTGGTGGTTCCATGGCCTTTGTGTTTGAAGTAAAGAAGAATTGTTGTAATAGTGATGTTACTTCTTTCCATTTATATTGTACATTCGTTGAGCTCTCTAATGTTCACTCTTCGTAGTTTTTATTTTCTAGGTACCCCATGTTCTAGAAGAGTACATTGTTGAGTCTATATGGTTAAGTAGGAGTCAACTGCTAGGTCTGGGTGGTTAAGGAAGAAACGAACTTCAAAGCCCTGTCATATCATTTGTGTAGTCTTGAGTCTTGTAATTGTTTAAGGTTTAAGGTTTGAAATACATGGATTTGCAAATAGGTTTTTGTATATTTGATATGTTGGGAAACTTAAATATGTTTTGTCGCACTTGGTCAATGTACGCTAATTGAATCATTAATTGTATGTGCAGAATATTGGATAAGCTNTTTCAAACATGATCATTGGATGTATTTCATCAATGATAAGGGTTTTACACTTGCATTGCATAGTGTGGTGAGAGCCGGTGAGGGCTCGGGTTGATGTGTGTGAGTGAATCTCATTTCATTCATGNCTAATAGAGTGGGGTCCATTCTACCAAGAATAGGCATAATATAATATCTATGGGTTGAGGTGTTATAGAATGAACNCCAATTGAGTGGGGTCCACTCTACCAAGAATAGGCATAATATAATATCTATGGGTTGAGGTGTTATAGAATGAACCACTGAACCATAGTTGAACATGTTAAACAATGTAAATAACATATTTGATAAGTTTAGAAAGAGTTTGAAAAATCTTGCCNTTTATGAAGATTGTATATGCACTTAGGTTGGGGAGTAGCCTCTATAGGAAACATTATACTGAGCGTTGGCTCACCTTATACGGGAAACATTTCAAGTGCGGGGCATATTCCGGCGGATGATACTCATTCGGGGCCTCGAGGGTGNACCACTGAACCATAGTTGAACATGTTAAACAATGTAAATAACATATTTGATAAGTTTAGAAAGAGTTTGAAAAATCTTGCCCGTTTGGGAATTGAGAAACCCTACCTCGATGCACATCTCGATCTAAAACTGCAAATATATAATCAATTAAATTTCACACACATAGTCATTTTAACTATTTAAAAATGAATATAAAATTAGTTTGGTTAAAATCACCCCAAAACTAGGTCGAATTAGGCTCAGAGGGAAAAATAGATATTTTGCACCTCATTTTTGTCCAAAAGTTGAATCGCGAAACGCAGAGAACTGGTACCTTGTATGGACCTTGGGAGTTGATTGGAACCATCTAGGCTTGGACCAGGCTGACCAGCCATCCCACGCACTCTTACACGTCATTGGGATGGGCTAGAGTCCTTCCTTNGTTGGTTTGGAATGGATTGGACATGAAAAATAGGTAAAACGGACAAAACTGGGCAGAGTGTACCAGTACCGTATAGTTCAGAAGACAGAGCGTACCAGTACTGTCTGTCCAAAGGGAAAACTGTACCGATACGCAGTACCGGTACGCTTTTCCAAATTTTCTAAATTTTAAAACTAAAGTGCTATGCCTTTGCACTTTGGTTCCTTGGTTCCAAAGATACAAATGGACATTAAATGAGATGTATTGGGGNTCCTTGGTCTGTTCCCTTGTTGCCCTAGTTGCATAATATTTAGCCTAACCCCTCTAATTTGCACCTTCTTTTTTCCCTCCATTCTCCACCTATTTGCTTCATTCCAAAGCTAAATTAATCCCCACACACTCTAGTTTTAAAACCTCACAAACCAAACCCTTCAACCCTTCTTCAAATTCCATCAATTCAAGGTCAAAGTAGGCCCAAAAGTTCGAACTCAAACTTTCACCAGACTTGCAAATTCAATTTTCACTCCCCAAATGACTTCAAAACTTAATTCCAAGGCCATAATTTGAATCCTTCACCCCAAATTTGCTAGACACGCTTAGAAGCATAACATTTAAAGTATGAAATTCATAATAGTGTTGATTTAAACCATAAAAGTAGAATGGATGAATAAGGAGGAGTGTTTNGAGACTCCCGGATTTAGGGGCGTCACATAAAACAAACTCTTCCCTAAGGCATAGTTGAAACACTGCCACTCTTCTTAACCAAAGCAAGGCTATGAAAAGTGAGAGAGAATCAACCTTCTAAGTAGAAAGAGTATTAAATAAATGTAAAAGAAAAGAGTTTTGGCTAGGAAGAAAATTTCTTCAAGTTTCAAACTTAAGAATGAATGAATAATACTAGGAATGGGGGGTATTTATAGAGCTTCATGGGCAGCTACTGGTGGCAGAAAAAGCCAATAGAAAACAACCTTGGTGGAGAAGCAAAATCTAGTTTGTTTAGCACCATTCGGATGGTGGTGATTGGCATCTAGACGATAGTGATCCACTGGAAATCCTCCTTTTTGACTGTTAACCTTGGAACTTGAGCCTGCTAGTGCAACCGAATGGTGGAGGTCCTTGAAATTATTCACTTTTTGCTCCTTGGTCCTTAAACTTCTCGATTTCACTCCCTTGACCCTATTATTTTAATATACCAAATTTCACCCATTAATAATATCACAATCTAACTTCCAGCCTATTTAATTATTTAATTAATGTAATTAACCCTTAAGTATACTATAAAAAAGGTAACTTTTAAAGTTAATCAGTTGTCAGGATTATCTGGTGTATGCGAAAGACACCAATGAGGAATAGAAAAATTTATGTGGGTTGCTATTAGACAAGGGAGTTGAGTGGCTATTAAGTATAAAATAGAGATTGCATCTATCTCCATTGATTTATATTATGAGTCATTTGTTGAATTAAAATAGGTGGAAGCACAATTGCAGGATTTAGATAATCAGGATTTTAATCAAGTCTAGAGTATCCCTACAGGAAAACTTCAGTTTAGTTTGTGGGTGGAGGATGAAACCACATGTTTATACACTAACTATTGGCAATATAATAAGGTAATTATTGAGGATAGATACCCTTCAACTTGGAAGGATGATGTATTCAATCAATTGTAGAGGTTAGACTATATTTTAAAATAGAATTTGGAAATTGGGGTGGCATTAGTTAAGGGTGGAGTGAATGATGTGTTAAAATTAGCTTTCTGCATAGGGTTTGAGCACCATAGTGATCATGCTTTTAGGGTTGACAAACGCTCTAGGAGCTTTTGTGGATTTAATGAATAAGGTAACTCAAACTTACTTAGACTTTTTATGATTATAGTTAATTGATGATATTTTTAGTGTATTCTCTTAGCAAAAAGGAAAATTAGTAGTATTTATGGATGGAGTTGCAAACATTATGGGAAGAAGGAAGATGGAGGGAGATGTCGAAAACCAAGTGTTGTAGTCTCAATAGGAAAGTAAACTACTTTGTGTTCTACTAGTAGGAACCTTAGTTGTACCAGTAGGAAGATGTTTTGTTGTGTTCTACCAGTAGGAACCATAGTTATACCAATAGGAAGATGTGCTATTTTAGTTCTACCAGTAGGAACTATAGTTATATCGATAGGAAAGTATTATGTTTTGTGGTGTACCTGTAGGACTTGTACCGATACCATAAGGCTAACTCACTATCTTGTCGCATAAATCCCTAATCTTCTACCCGTTAATTCTTTGGGCTTCCCAAAGACATTCTATGAGGCTAAAACTAATCCTATAAAGGTCAGATTGACCTTAACTATTCAATTAATACTTAAATAAGAATATGGCATTAGAGGATAAAGATTAGCAAGGAAGAACCTAAACGATGACACAATTGCGATAGCATGTGTGTTAGGTATGGAGGCATCTATGTCATCGATCATCCTACCTAAAGCACCAACAAAGGATCGAACTTGAGGTAGATACCAACTCAAGGTGAGTGTACTAACTCACACATTTTACATTGACTTATTAATGTTATTTACTATCAAATTATGAGCATGGATATATGAAATGACTTACGATGGTATGGTGGTTATGTCTATAGCCTTGAAGGCAAATATAGCCTTAGTGGCGAACTCAATATAGCCTCAATGGCAAATGTAAGATTGCCTTAGTGGCAAACTCGATATAACCTTTAGTGGCAAATGAGATTGTCTTAATGACAGATATGATATAGCCTGAGTGACGTATGAGATTGCCTTAGTGGCATATGTGATATGGCCTTACTGGCAGACACAATATAGCCATAGTGGCAGTTAAGGTATAGCCTTAGTGGCAAGTATAGCCTTAATGGTAAGTTACTATATCTCTATATGGTGAACAAGCAAGGGTGAAGATTGTTCTGGTGGTTCCATGGCCTTTGTGTTTGAAGTAAAGAAGAATTGTTGTAATAGTGATGTTACTTCTTTCCATTTATATTGTACATTCGTTGAGCTCTCTAATGTTCACTCTTCGTAGTTTTTATTTTCTAGGTACCCCATGTTCTAGAAGAGTACATTGTTGAGTCTATATGGTTAAGTAGGAGTCAACTGCTAGGTCTGGGTGGTTAAGGAAGAAACGAACTTCAAAGCCCTGTCATATCATTTGTGTAGTCTTGAGTCTTGTAATTGTTTAAGGTTTAAGGTTTGAAATACATGGATTTGCAAATAGGTTTTTGTATATTTGATATGTTGGGAAACTTAAATATGTTTTGTCGCACTTGGTCAATGTACGCTAATTGAATCATTAATTGTATGTGCAGAATATTGGATAAGCTAATTGAGTGGGGTCCACTCTACCAAGAATAGGCATAATATAATATCTATGGGTTGAGGTGTTATAGAATGAACCACTGAACCATAGTTGAACATGTTAAACAATGTAAATAACATATTTGATAAGTTTAGAAAGAGTTTGAAAAATCTTGCCCGTTTGGGAATTGAGAAACCCTACCTCGATGCACATCTCGATCTAAAACTGCAAATATAGAATCAATTAAATTTCACACACATAGTCATTTTAACTATTTAAAAATGAATATAAAATTAGTTTGGTTAAAATCACCCCAAAACTAGGTCGAATTAGGCTCAGAGGGAAAAATAGATATTTTGCACCTCATTTTTGTCCAAAAGTTGAATCGCGAAACGCAGAGAACTGGTACCTTGTATGGACCTTGGGAGTTGATTGGAACCATCTAGGCTTGGACCAGGCTGACCAGCCATCCCACGCACTCTTACACGTCATTGGGATGGGCTAGAGTCCTTCCTTTCCCCCCCCCCCCCAACTCCTCCTTTTCTTCTTCCTTGGTCTGTTCCCTTGTTGCCCTAGTTGCATAATATTTAGCCTAACCCCTCTAATTTGCACCTTCTTTTTTCCCTCCATTCTCCACCTATTTGCTTCATTCCAAAGCTAAATTAATCCCCACACACTCTAGTTTTAAAACCTCACAAACCAAACCCTTCAACCCTTCTTCAAATTCCATCAATTCAAGGTCAAAGTAGGCCCAAAAGTTTGAACTCAAACTTTCACCAGACTTGCAAATTCAATTTTCACTCCCCAAATGACTTCAAAACTTAATTCCAAGGCCATAATTTGAATCCTTCACCCCAAATTTGCTAGACACGCTTAGAAGCATAACATTTAAAGTATGAAATTCATAATAGTGTTGATTTAAACCATAAAAGTAGAATGGATGAATAAGGAGGAGTGTTTAAAAAACAGAAAGATACTTATAGAACACTCATTAACTGATCATGTTTTCACTTAGACAATGCATTAGAAATTCATGTAGAGCTATTTTAATCCATTAGTCTAGATACATTCATAATAGTGTCAAAGTTTGATTTCACACACGTTGCACATGATTGATCAAAGTTGAACAAAATTTGTAAGATGTGTAAGTAAAATTGAACTAAGTGAAAGAAAATAATTCTAGAATGCATGGATATTGAGTTCAAAAGTCTCTAATATGCCTTAAATTAATGTGTGAAGATGACAAAAGTTGGATGGAATTATTATGATGTGAACATGTGTAATTTTCATGATTAATGATTTTGTGCATTTAATTGTCAACATTGAAAATTGGACTACATTTAATTCATTATTTCATCCATGCATGTAAATTTTGTTGTATTTAGAATTTGCATACATTCATACATAACAATTAGGGTTCAAGTGAGTGATAGGAGGAGTATTGGATTGGATAGCTGAGATCAGGAAGTAAAAACAAACTAATTTAGGGACCGCTCGAGCGACCCCATACATCGCTTAAGCGGTCTGCGAAGATTCTCGGTAGGCAATTTTTGCTTATTCTAACACATTTCTCTCACTTAATATGTGGGCCTATTCCATTTCCTCCATACCCAAGGCTACTCGATGGATCAAAATAAGTTATAGAAGGTATTTAGGTGTGGTCAAACTCTAGATTTGTGATTTCACTTGCTTTTGAACCTTTTCACTTATTATATTTGGAAAATGCCACCACAAGGGAAAAAAAGAGCTTGAGTTCAAGGATTTTATGAGAGAAGATGCTTCTAGAGTCCCCATTATCGTGATATATACAGAAGATAGCTTGTTTCCTATCCTGTAATGATGGAATGCGATGTAAATTTCGACGTGGTAAGTAATGCTTCTCCCTAAGAATTTTGAGTCAAAGTGGATTGGACTATTTGTGGTCCCTTTTCTATGCACACATTAGGAATAATACAATCAATAGTGAGTATTTCATGACCTATGTCTGAAGTGTGTAGCTTGAGTTCTCTATAGACTTGATTGCCACCACGCTATAGCTACCCCTAGACGCCAATGATTCTTATCATAATAGACCAGATAGTATAGTGCCCAAGTTCATTCATGTTGCATCTGAGATATATGGAGCCCCTTATCTTGATGATTGGGACCGACAAAGATGGTTTCACGAGGACTTAGTTGCGGAATATCGGATGAACAATTTGATTATCAATTACAACATTGAGTCGAACACCTATGTATCCACTTTTTTTCCACCTTTTGCATGTTATTGGGATTGGTCTGGATATAAACTTACCACAATAAATATTTGGGGTTATTTGGAGAGCCAACAATGAGGGTAAGGTTAGTGATGGTTTGCCATTTGGTTACTTGATCACTCAAATTTGTTTAAATAAGGGTGTAGTTGCTTTAGAGATTGATCAAAGGAGGACACCAAAGAGACCTCTTGGGAAAGAGTTATTGAGACAAAGTGAAACTCATGTGAGTTATTTATTTGACCCCATGGGGGTAGAAGTGGAGGAAGAAGAAATGGATCCTGAGATAGAGCCTGAGACTCCTGCTACTACTAAGCCGGGACCATTGACTAGTGCACCACCACCGAGGCACGCACATGCCAATGTTTCACGTGCCACTTCACACAAGGTAGCACCCATTTCCTCTCATGCTTAGTGGACTACTATTATGGATGTGTTAGAAATTGTTCAGACCAACTTACGTCATATTCAAACTAGTGTAGACTTACATGAAAGTATCATAGCACTACCACTAGATTCTCTTGATGAGAGGCAGGTTAGTCTTGAGAGAGGGCATAAAGAGATGAGACAAGAGGTGAGGCGAGGAGGGCACTGCCGCTAACACGGTGAAACCCACAAACAACACTACTGTTGTGGATTGCAATCGCAATAGTGGATCTGCCACTCAACACCACCAACCATTAGCACGTAGAGAGAGAGAGAGAGTAACCCACCAAAACTACTTGTGGACACTCACCAACAAAAACCTTGACACAATCCACTAATGAAATCATACGCACCCAAGACTACTAGACTTGTACCACCATTCCTCCATCTTCTTCTCCACACAACAACTTTACTCTATGCACACGCACACAATCGCAACCCAATCTCCTCCTACCAACCACCTTTACTTCCACAACCAAGACCAAACCCACCATTAAGATCTACTCTAAACTATGAGGTCCAAGACCCATAAATCTAATAGGTTTTCGTAACAGGTTCAAAACAGTGGCGGATTTAGTATGGGGGCAATTGAAATATTAAAAAAATTTGGGACCTAGGTGTAATTTTAAAAATTTCAAGAATTTCTTAAACTTGCCCCCACTGAAATTTTCTTAAAATATATGGTATATTAATATAATTTTCAACCCCTAAAAGCTAACTTTTGACAACTCCTCCTCATTTTTCATGTCTAGTAGCTGCCCCCACTGAAATTTTAAAAAAAATTGGGACCTAGGTATAATTTTAAAAATTTCAAGAATTTCTTAAACTTAACCCACTGGAATTTTCTTAAAGTATAAGACATATTAATATAATTTTCAACCCTTAAAAGCTAACTTTTGACAACTCCTTTTCACGCCTGTTTTTTTTTTTTTCCCGTAAGCCTTTGTCTTCTTCGTCCAAACTTCTAATTCGATCCAGACGTCCAATCCCTCTTCTTTCTTTTATTTAGTTTCTTTGTTAATTCCTTTGGTGTATTCATCAACAAATTAGTTTATTGGATTTAATCATTGTGCAAATCAAATTTGAAGAAAACCCTAGAAGATTATGTTGAAACTAAGGAAAGATAATTCATTAACAAAAGTTTTTGATAGTAGTATTAGCACGAATCTAAAATTAGATTTTTTATATTAGAAAATTAGTTTATTTCTTATAGAATTGATGATTGTTTGGTGTATTATTTATGGACTTATGTAGATTTTATTTGTTTTGTTTTGGGTCATCACTCAACTATTTTGAATTTTTGTTGATGACTCTGTTCAGATGCTAATCTAAAATTCTTGATAAGTGCTAATTTTCTTCCCTATGATTAAATTGTTTTAATTGATTTCTTGAAATTCTAGTTTGTATTTATGGATTATATTTTGATTATGTGTAGTACATTATCTCATTTGTTACGAACTCTTAAACTTGAATCTAATTAGACAAAAAGAATATAGTATATCCGTCAGTATATTTGCTCATCAAACTAACACTTATCTTTCCAGTTGCCCCTGCAACCATTAAAAGAACATTTTCAGCATTGAACATAGTAAAGAATCGATTGTGCAATCGAATGGGAGATCAATAGATGAATGATTGTTTGGTTGTATATATTGAGAAAATATGTTTCAAGTGTCATTGAAAATGAAATGATTATACAACGGTTCCAACATATGAAAACTCATTGAGAACAATTATAAAGATTTATTGGATGTTCAAGAGTTGTGAACTCCTTTTATGCAGGATTTTGAATAGTAAAGGATATTTTTGATGTGAAATTTTTTTGTTGTCTTTTTTCGTACATCACTCGTATACATGAGTTGAACATCTATATCACATTTTAATGTAATTATGTTTATGAATAGTTTATCATGAATACAAATTTTGATGAGAATAATGTTACAATTATACTTTAAAATTTAAAAATTTAAGTTGCCCTCCGAAACAAAATCCTAGCTCCGCCCTGATCTAAAACCTAGAAAAATCCATACAAAAATCATAAGAAAAAAAAACCAGATTTGACCTTGAATCCTCAACTACACTTGATCAGAATCGTTTGTCGATTAAGCAACCGATACAACCAGATGATTGCCACAACGATTATGGCTCCTCTTCTTCGGTGATAGACAATTCGGCCACAAATTAAACTTGGGAGAAGGGGTGATTAAGGAAGGAGCTGTCTGGTTGGGGGAAGGGGAAACAAAGAGAGTAGTGAGAGTAAGAGAGAGATTTAAGGAGAGTGTTAGGGAGTGAAATAAACAAAGCGAGAGACAAAAGATGGGCGAAATTTAGGGTGTAAGTGATGGCTTAAAAAAGAGTGCGAGAGTTCTACTGGTAAGGAGAGTTTTATCGGATTTTGAAAACTTAGTGGGCGGAAAAATTTTTATGAGTGAGAAAATATAATTTTATCCTTTTGATTAATAATGAATATTAACAAAGGGATATGAGGCGTTTGATTGCAAAATTTACTTTGAAAAAAAGTTATCAAAACTGAGGCTTAATTTCCAAGAAGTAAAAATTTACACGAAGTCAGTATTAAACGGCGGATAAGTATTCAACGTGGAAGAACATGGCCCCCTTGGCCCCAGCTTTGAAGACGACGACGATGTGTTCGATGTTTAAACAGGAGATTCGAGACACAACAGTCTTCTAACAGAAGAAAGGGAGAGGAGGAAAAGAAAAGCAGGAGAAAGAAAGAAGAAGAGCCAACGACCAAGAAACCAAAACAAAGAGCCCACAACCAAATGGTTACCCTCATGCGAATGCCTTCCCAAGCTTTCATCTCTGTAAGTCTTCTCTATATATAAACACACACACACACACATATATATGTTTATATATCTGTATATTTAGGCAAATTAGGTTGGGGTTGGTTTTAGAGCCTAATGCTACGGCCTGTCCACCCCCACTCCCACCCCCTTCCCCAACACAAAAAAAGACAAAAGCGCCTCATAGACACTATGAGGTGTCACGCATGCTATGCTTGGGTAACATTGTGTTTGATCATGGGCGAAGCTATTTAGGCCTTGTTTCCCCCACTCAATTTTGTTTTGCAAAAAAAAAAAAAATCATTTATATAGGTTCTAATATATTTTAAATTTGCCTCCACAAAAAAATCTCATTCATTTTAATTTACTTAATCATTTTTTGCCCTCCGATGTAAGTGAACTCAAATAATATTTAGTTAGCTGAATTCCTCAAAATATGTTCAAGAAATCATTTTGAATCTCTTCGTTCTCTCTCCCGATATTTTGTCCTCTTTCTCTTTCACCGTTGTCAATTTATTTTTATAATATGAAAGTTAGTTGGTAACAATTGCAAATGTGAGGTTGCTTCATTATGACCTAAGTGTTAATAATTCACATCTTGGAAATATTCTCTCACATGCGGGGTAAATTTACGTAAATATGACCTTCTGAGATCTTGCAGTAATGAGAACCTGTGTGTATTGGGTCAACTTTTGTTATTCGTTATTAGTTGATTGTTAAAAGTGAAACCCTATTAAGATAAAATTTGGGACCTAATTTGGAACATTAATGCATTATCATCATTTGAATAACAGTGGGTCTCAGTATTGAATGCAGTTTATTTTGCTAAACCAAAGGTCTCTAGATTGGGTCTCCGAATTAAGTACATATAATATTATGGCTAAGATATTTGCCCCCACAATGCCAAAATTCTAGCTTCGCCCCATTGTTTGATGCTCGGTATTCAAAGGTACTTGCAGGGCTAAAACCAAAAGATACAAAACTCTACAACTTTGAACCTCCCTGGTAATCAATAGGAAAAGGCAAATAAAGATATATTTTCCTACCATTGAAGCCAAATGGTTGAGTTTCCCATCTTCTTCTCCCTAGTGTTTCCCTTTTTGCCTTTTGTTTTGCTCTCTTTTTTTCCGTTATGCTTTTTGGGGAATTTATATGGGACCACCTTGGATTCGTTAATGGGAAGATGGTTGTGGTTTTAAATAATGTGTTCTTTTTTCTTTTTATTTCTTTCTTTCTTACTTTTTCTTCTTTACATTTTTGAGTGGTGGAGTGGTGAAAAAACACTACCTGGTGTGGACAAATTACACATGGGACGTGCTTCTGTCCTTGTTACTCTTCAGTGTTTTTTTTATTAAACTAGATATTTAAAAAATTTAAAATATTTGTGACCCCCCCCCTCCCCCAAATAAGGTGTTTCTCGCTTTTTATGATAATGTAGATAGGGTATATATATTTTTATGAAATTAGCAATGTTGGTCATAAAGCATAATAGATGGTGAACATATTGAAGCACGATTTTGTGCAATGACATTCTATACTGGTTGGTCTTATTTAATTTTGAATGATTTTAACTGGGAGTTATTAAATGTTCTGTGGAGTTAAATTAGGTATTGGAAGAAATTTTCATTAGTTTTGGTACTTCAGAACCATTTTTCATAGCCTTTTTAGATGCTTATTTCGATATTTTTAACATTAACCAGGGCTATCCGAACAAGCTGATTTTCACAAGAGCAAGTGACATGTTGAGGACTATAATGACAGGCAACTCTTCTTGTTACATACCCAGTTCTTTGACCAAGTAGAATGCTTTTCTGGTTAGTTATACATATATTGCTCTCTACAATTCTACTCAAGTTCTTCTGTGGTAACAGATTCTCTTCAGTCAACTAGTAAAAATTGGAAATTGCCTAGCAAAGCAAGAAGGGCTGTACCTTTTCAGGGATCTTCTAAATTTGTACAGACTACATGCCGAATCTCTGTCCCTGGAACCTCATCAAGAAGTGAAGAAAAAGTGCCATCAAATTTTTTGAGGGACAAGAAGTTGGTTCCCAATTCAGATCCCCCAAGTATCAAAGATGTCGACCTTTTGTACCAATTTTTTGATCAGAGGTGATTGTCCGATATAATTAGAGGTTTAGTTTTGTATGCGATAACATATTGCACCAGAAAATGTCCATGGCATGTGCTTCTTTATGTCTTGTGTTTTGACTTTTGATAATTTATTCCTATGCAGTACCAAGCTTGTAGTTTTGACAGGAGCTGGAATAAGCACAGAAAGTGGAATTCCTGATTATAGAAGGTTCTATCTTGTCTTTCTTAGAATGCTGATTCAGCTTATTAGATATTCAAACCTTAAATTATGCAATCTTTAAATTTGGTTGAGATGCTATGATCATGTGTCATCATATGGAATTTTGTATGTGAAAGCTGCTCAGGTTACCTATCTTCGGTATAACTTTTAATCTAGTCAAATGATTGAATATGTTACGCTAACTCTATAAAGCCTATTCTTTATATTTTGCCTTATGTGGCAGCAGAGCTAATTTTGTAGTTTATATTGATTGTTCCAATACCTTTTGACTGAAAGATGTCTACCTTTATCCTTCATCTAATTATTTTCCCATTAGTATGCTATAATTACTTGATTTGGAGGTATTTCAATTTCAACCAAGTTCAGATGATCTTGGTGAGCCATTATTTCTTTGTATTTTCAAAAGCACTGTGATTTGGCCACTCATTTATTTGGCTAAGTCAACCCATGCATTCTAGTCCTGGAATTTTGAGGGGCCACCAAATGTTTAAATCTGCAAACTATTTATAAATACTGCTTCAAACTCAATTCTTTTATTACACCTGTTCTTGTAGTAGCCTTTCCTTCTAATTAAGTTGATTTATCTATATTTTGTTTGCAGCCCAAATGGAGCCTATAATTCTGGTTTCAGNCAGATTTTCACAAGAGCAAGTGACATGTTGAGGACTATAATGACAGGCAACTCTTCTTGTTACATACCCAGTTCTTTGATCAAGTAGAATGCTTTTCTGGTTAGTTATACATATATTGCTCTCTACAATTCTACTCAAGTTCTTCTGTGGTAACAGATTCTCTTCAGTCAACTAGTAAAAATTGGAAATTGCCTAGCAAAGCAAGAAGGGCTGTACCTTTTCAGGGATCTTCTAAATTTGTACAGACTACATGCCGAATCTCTGTCCCTGGAACCTCATCAAGAAGTGAAGAAAAAGTGCCATCAAATTTTTTGAGGGACAAGAAGTTGGTTCCCAATTCAGATCCCCCAAGTATCAAAGATGTCGACCTTTTGTACCAATTTTTTGATCAGAGGTGATTGTCNATAACTTAGTTCAAACGAATGTTAGTTTCATATTGTTTCTGTTAGACGCAAGGAACTCCTGAAAACTAATTTCCACCCCGTGACATCAACGGGCTGCCCTTGTTGCATGAGTCAAAGATAGATAAAGTATATTCTTTATTTGAAATTGAAGTTGAGAAGTTGGTAGTTTGTCTTATTTTTATGACATTAACCAGCTTTTGGAATTAACTGCTGTTGGTTTAGAAAATTTTCTAACTGGGGTCGGACTGAATCCAGGAAACAGTTTAAGAACAAATATTACTATTCTGTATGGAAGGTGAGGACATTGATGTTTTGCTTTTGATATTGATGGTACATATTTCTTCTGTTCTGTGAAGCCATTTTCAGTAAAGATGCTGGCTGTTCATGCTGAAGGATTTTGAATTTTTTGGTAGTTCAAGTGTGCACACAGTCAGGACTTGTGAACAATTACATAGGCCCTTCATTAACACTATTTTATTACATTCAAGTCATGTTTGCTTAATTGTTGGAGATTTACTTTCCTGTGGTTTGGGATTTTCTTTTCTATTTTACTTTCCTATTATGTTGTTTCCTTATTATGTTTTACTTTCCTAATATTGATAACAATTACAATATCAATATGATATAAGTAATAGGCTGTTGGTAACATATATCCTACACTCATTATTTTCTAAATCTCTCTCTCCTCTATTTCTTCTTGTTTCTCCTAAATCTAAACCCTAATACTTGATTATTTGAGTTTCAACTTGGTATTAAAGGATCTGTTATAGTCGGTCCCTTTCTTTCCCTCATTTCTCCTTTCTTTCTCTTATTTACCTATTGTTCATCACGACAGTTGATGGGTTACTGTTCACCGATTACTGTTTATGGTTACTGTTCATAAGGTACTATTCATTGGTTACTATAAAAATACTACTGTTCATTGGCTGCTGTTTATTGTGTGATTACTGTTCATTGTGAAATTTTGACTGCTTGTATGAAAGATCTTTGGATTCTAAAGCATGCCAGAGAAGTTTTGAGGACCGGTGGTTAAGTTCCTTTGGTTGTGATTGTTGTTTATCATCGTTGAAATTACAATTGTCTTATCGCTATAGTCCTTGTTTTTGTCTTGATGATTGGGTAACAGTTTATAGAAAAGAGATGCTTGACTAAAACCCTAATATGTGTTTGTGATTGTCATTGACCCATTTATTTTTGGGTTGTTTTGTTTTGGGGGTCTTTACCTCCTATGTATGTTTTTGGGTAGCTCTTGTGGTGGATAAACTACCTAGTTGTGTTTGAGCACATTGTGGTTAGACTGATAGGTTCAGTGAAGTGGATTTTTTTAGCTGATTTTGATAGTGGATTTCATTTTGTTAATTTCGAAGGATTTGAAGGCCCTTTCAGTGGATCATCAGTTTATACATGTTCATTTAGTGGATGATCTTACTAGACAGATTACTTCTGTCTGTCGTTCTCAGCATGTTTCTTTTTGAAGTTTAGATAGTTAACACAATATTAGAGAAAGACGGAAAGGGGTCCAAAACCTAACCTACCTCTCACAAACCGTTTATCTTTATAGTTAACTCGTAACCATACAAAAGACGTGTATACCCTCTAGGGGTATACTTATTACAACTAGTATTTACATAATGCTCTTAACACTCCCCCTCAAGCTGTACTCCCTCTCTCTCTCTCTCTATATATATATATCATATAATTCAAGCTTGGAACAAATGGCTGTAACGCGCGTTCAATTCAATGGTTTGGTAAACATCTCTGCAAGTTGATCTTTCGATCTTACAAATGGAGTTGTAATATCTCCGACTATTATCTTGTCTTGAATAAAGTTACAATCAACGTCAATGTGTTTGGTTCTCTCGTGAAATATTGGATGACAGCGATATGAATTGCTGCCTGATTATCACAAAACAACTGTAAAGGAGGTTGAACTGGAAAGTCCATTTTTAGGAGAAAGTGTAGCAGTCATGTCAACTCACTAGTTGTATGTGCCATTGCTTGATAGTCAGTCTCAGCACTAGATTTTGTTACCACCATTTGTTTCTTACTCTTCCACGACACAATGTTACCTCCCAAGAAAATACAATAATTAGTGGTTGATCTCCAATAAGAAGGAGAGTTGGCCTAGCATCTGAAATTTTTTTTATTTTAAGATGTCCATTAACTTGATATAACAATCACGATTGACATATCGCAAAATACGAGTGACTACCTCCCAATATGGTACTCTAAGGCATTCCATAAACTGATTTACTACACTAACTGCACAGGAAATATCCGGTTGGTTATAGTGTGATAATTGGTCTTCCCAACCAACTTGCGATACTGACTTGAATTTTCAAACAGTGTACCATCATTTATTAATAATTTTTGAATTGGATCCACAGGAACATCAATTGGTTTACCACCCAGCAAACCAGTTTTTTCTAGCATATCAAGTACATATTTTCTCCGGGATAAATAAATACCTTGTTTAGATCTAGCAACCTCAATACCCAAGAAATACCTAAGTTTTTCTAGGTCCTTAGTGTGAAATCGGTCTTGCGAAAAAGTTTTTAACTTAACTATCATTTTAGAATCATTTCTAGTAATTACAATATCATCTACATAAACCACCAATAGAATATATCCGACATCCGTCTACCTATGAAATACAAAGTGGTCTGTCGGACATCGAAGAAGACCAAACTCAAACTGCTTTTAAAAACTTACTAAATCGTGTTCTCGGTGACTGTTTCAAACCATATAGGGATTTCTTTAATCGACACACATTCTTACAGTACTCCCCCGCAGCAGTAAAGTAAACCCAGGTGGCTGTTCCACGTAAACCTCCTTAACCAAATTATCATGTAAGAAGGTATTCTTGACCATGGTTATCTGGATCGCGAGTTGCTTTGGTACGTGGTACGGGTAAGGGTGCAGGATACGTTATTTTATGTGGTACGTAGTACGGTAAGGGTAGAGGTGCAACTTGGGGTGTGCAACCCGAGTCCAACCTGAAAAAATTAGGGCTTAGGCTAGAGTTGTTAATACTTGGGTTGGGTTTGGATAAAAAAATGTCAACCCGAATTCAATTTGGGCGGGCCTCGGGTTGACCCCTTTGGTTCACGAGTTGAATTTGAATATTAAAATCGGGTTCAACTCGATTTAATAATCGGGTTTAAGCCGAATAAATATTATATAAATACATTTTTAATGGCACCTAGGGTTAATCTCAACGCCTCCCTTTAGACCTTCACTCACTCTCAGTCCTTTTTCCATCTTTACTTGTTTTTCTTCAATTCTTTGTTTGTTGGTCTTGTATTTAATGGCAAAAATAGTAGAAAAAACAACTGGTGTAGCAAAGGAAACGATGGAATTGAAGAAAGAACTGCAAAGATTAATGAATGCTATAGTTGATGACGATGATCACAGTGAAGAGACCATTGATCAGGCCATGATGACCTTGTATTCTCTCAAGAAATTAATTTGGAAACGCTCGGTTTCTTTTTTGGAACTGGACAGTTCTAATTTTCTTGATGAATTTAAGTGCCCTCTTTCCAAAGCTCTCATTAAAGACCTTGTTATCTTGGCCACTGGTCAGATGTATGATTGGCAATTAATTGAAAACTGGTTGAAAGATGGTCAAAGAATATGCCCCCAAACCCAACACGTTCTGTTAAATTTGTGTTATATTTGAAGTTGTTGGTTGTTAAATTATTTGACTATTATGTCATATATGTATTAGGTTTAGAACATTAACCCAAAATCAGCTCGTAAAGTAATCCGAAATTAGCCCGAAATTATTAACCCGAATTCAACCCGAGCCTGCCCGAATTAAACTCGGGTAGTGCTTGGGTTAAGTTTATCACCCCGAGGTAGGGTTAGGGTTAGGGTTAGGGTTCGGGTTGAAGATTACATACCTAGGGTCGGGTTAGAGTTGACTGTCCAACCTAGCCGAGTTGCACCCTAGGTAAGGGTAGGCTTATTTAGTATGCTAATTGGGTCGTGTTTCGTTTTGAAATCTTATTTGGTTCGTTTTTACTATGGTAAAAAATTATATATAAGTATGCATCTATACACACATGGTGAGTTATAATTTTTGCATGTCGTAGTTTTCAATATTTTTTTTTAATTATGTGTGTATTTTGTATTTATTTCAAAATAATTATTGGAATTAAGATTCAAGACCCATAACAATATACCATCTAATAGTCGTGAGCAAAAAAAAAATAATGGTTGCATATTTGTATTACGAGAAAAATCAAATCAAAATAATTATAAATTTAACGATCATTAAAACAAAAAAATAAAGTACTAACTAGTAATTAAGTAGCTTTCAACTTGAACAAATAATTAAAATAAAAATTGTTAACATGCCNTTGTGTTATATTTGAAGTTGTTGGTTGTTAAATTATTTGACTATTATGTCATATATGTATTAGGTTTAGAACATTAACCCAAAATCAGCTCGTAAAGTAATCCGAAATTAGCCCGAAATTATTAACCCGAATTCAACCCGAGCCTGCCCGAATTAAACTCGGGTAGTGCTTGGGTTAAGTTTATCACCCCGAGGTAGGGTTAGGGTTAGGGTTAGGGTTCGGGTTGAAGATTACATACCTAGGGTCGGGTTAGAGTTGACTGTCCAACCTAGCCGAGTTGCACCCTAGGTAAGGGTAGGCTTATTTAGTATGCTAATTGGGT